CCTTTCATGGTAAAAGACTCCAACAAACTAGGTTTCAAGAGAATTTACCTCAACATAATAAAGAACACTTATAAAAAGCTCACACCTAACATCATACTCAATAGTAAAAACCTGAAAACTTTTCCTCTAAGATCAGGAACAAGGCAAGAATGCCCACTTGAGTCAATTCTATTCATTATAGTACTGGAAGTCCTAGCCTGAGAAATTAGGCAAGAAAAAGAAAGAAAAAAGCATCTAAATGAGAAAGAAAGAAGTAAAAGTATCTGTTTATAGATGACATAATCTTATATGTAGAAAACCCTAAAGAGTCCACAAAAAAACTATTAAAACTAATACATAAATTTAGTAAAGTTGCAAGATACAAAATCAACATTAAAATATCAGCTGCATTTCTATACACTAATAATAAACTATCCAAAATGAAGAAAACAATTCCATTTACTATGATATCAAAAAATAATAAAATACTTAAGAATAAACTTATCCTAAGAGGTGAAAAACCACATACTTAAAAACACAAGTCATTGATGAAAATGATAAATAAAGAAGAGAAAAATAAATAGAAAGACATCTCATGTTCATGGATGGAAACAATCAATATTGTTAAAATGTCCATATTACCCAAAGCCATCTATATAGTCAATGTAATCCCAATCAAAACTCCAAGGACATTTTTTTTACAGAAATGGAAAAAAATAATAATAAATTTCATATTGAAACTTCAAAAGACCCTGAATATATAAAGAACAAAGCTCAAGACATCACAATTCCTGATTTCAAAATATATTTCAAAGCAATGGTAATTAAAACAGTATGCTACTGGTATAAAAACAGACATATAGGCCAATGGAAAAGAATATAGAGCCCAGAAATCAACCCATGTATAGATGGTCAAATGATCTTCAACAAGGGTACCAGGAATACACAATGGGGAAAGGACAGTCTTTCAATAAATGGAATTGGGAAAACTGACTATCCACACACACACAAAAAGAAATTGGACCCATATCTTATACATATCATACACAAAAATCAACTCAAATGTATTAGAAATTTAAATGTAAAACATAGAGCTGTAAAACTCCTAAAAAAAAAAGTAGGGGGAAAAATCATGATATTAAGCATGGCAATAGTTTCTGTGATAAAGCACATGCAATAAAAGCAAAATTAGACAAGTGAGATTACATCAAACTAAAAAGCCTCTGCACAGCAAAGGAAACAATCAACAGAGTGAAAAGGCACTTATGAAATAGGAGAAAACATTCCAAGACACATATCTGATATGTTATTGATACCTAAAATATATAAAATATATAAGGAACTTCTACAACTCAAAACAAAAAAGAAGAAAAAGGGCTGGCCATTTGGCGTGTTGGTTAAGAGTTGGCTTGGGAGTGCCGGCTCTGAGCAGCAGGGCCCCGGTTCGGATCTCACATGAGGGCCAGTGACACTGCGCCCTCTACAGCTAAGATGGTGAGCAACAGCTCGACCTGGAGCTGGGCTGCTGTGAGTCACCGGCCACCGCGTAGGCTGCAGCGGGGCTGCAGTGGGCTGCTGTGAGAGACCGTGAGTGGCTGGCAGCCAGCGTGAGCTGCCAGCAGCTGGCGTGAGCTGCTGTGAGCCACCGGGAGCGGCCCGCGGCAGATTTCCTCACCCAGGAAGAGCACAATGATAATAACAACATGGGCCAGTGAAGCAACGTCCTCCACAACTAGACTCAAGAAAAAAAGGAAGGCAACTTGTCTGTTCCCCTTCCCTGATTCCCCAGAGCTATTCCCCTTCTCCAATTCCCCAATAAAATCTTAAAAAAAAAACACCAACCTAAATAACCAATGATTTAAAAATGGGTGAAGGACTTGAATGGATATTTCTCCAAAGGAGACATATAAATGGCTAATATCACCAATCATTAAAGCCTAATCATTCAAATCAAAACCAAAATGAGCTATCACCTCACACTTGTTCGGGCAGCTTTTATGGAAGAAGAAAAAAAAAGATAACAAGTGTTGGCAAGGATGTGGAGAAACTGGAACCCTTGTACACTATTGGTAGGTATGTAAAATGGTGCAGCCCTGTGAAAAATAAGATAGAGGCTCCTTAAAAAATTAAAAATATAAGTAGGATATGATCCAGCAATCCTACTTCTGAGTATATATCCAAAAGAACTGAAATCAGGATCTTGAAGAGATATACGAGTCGTATCCATTCCCATGTTCACTGCAGCATTATTCACAATAACGAAGATCAGGGAACAACCAAAAGTCCATCGTTGGATGAATGGATAGAGAAAAGTGGTATAATACATACAATGAAATATTATTCAGCCTTAAAAAGGAAATCGTGCCATATGGGGCAACATAGATGAACCTGGAGGACATTATGTTAAGTGAAATATGCCAGTCGCAGAAGTCCCAGAAGTCCCCTTATATGACACATTTAAAATAGTCAAGCTCATAGAATCAGATCCTAAAATAGTGGTTGCCAAGGGCGGGGTTGGGGGGGCAGGGGGAATTGCTCTTCAACAGGTATATAGTTTCAATTATTCAAGAGGAGAAAGTGCTAGAGATCTACTGTACAACACTGTGCCTATAGTTAACAATGTGTTGTGCACTTAAAATTTTGTTAAGATGGTAGATCTCATATTGTGATAAGTGTTCTTACCACAATATAAACAAACAAATAAATAAATAAATAAATAAGTTTTGAATTCTTAAAGATTTTTGCTCAAACAGGCCTAACTTAAGCTAAAATAGTTTGCATGTATTTACAAGGCCACTTTGTGTTTTCACCAACTATGTAAAATAAAAAGTCATAAAGGCGTAATTAATCTAATATATAAAGCGCCCATGCCGATGCTTGGTTCACACTGATTAGCTAGTAAGTGATTTCCTGTCCTTCCTTGCAACAATCTTTAGGGCTGTGTGGGTCTAGCTCTGTCGCGATGTCGTCTCTTATTACACATGCCCAGCTTTGCTCCACAGCGCCAGTGGTGCAGTTTCACCTCAGGTGACTGTACAGAAAGCTTCCAGGTCTTATTAAAATCGACTCCTGAGAGCACAGAACGATTAGTTCATTTCTGATTCTGAAGAAGCACTCATCCCTCTCCAATCAGCGCTCTGATGCAAACTAGATTTGCAACTCCATCTTCTCAAAATAATTGTATTTTAAAGTATACCTTACATCGCCAGTTTGATACACTATACCAAGAACAATGCAGCTTAGACACCAAGCTGCTTTTCATAATCAGTAATTACCAAAAGAGCTGCCCCCTGCCCCTATCTCTCCTTTTTTGCCCTGTTCTGCCAAATGCCTGCTCATTTTCCTTTTCATTAATGGCCTTGCTGCATTTTCTACTCCTTTCCTCCACATCCCTCTCTTCTGTCCCTGCAATCTCCTGCATGAATTAAAAAAAAAAAAAAGTGAAGAAGTGAAAACACACTCCCTCACCCTCCACCAAGTGGGCAGAAGTCTTTGACCCTGACCTTTGAAAATGGATAATGCTCAGAACAGGGACCTAGATGGTCTCCATGGCTGTTTTAAGTCCAGCACACCTCATGCTGTGGGATTCCACACCTTAAATTAACCAATAACCCTCACTGTAGTCCAAGAAAAGGCAAGTCAATTAGAAGTTAAACATTTATATTTGTGCTAAGGAGATTTTAAGGAACATTTGGAAAACAAAGTATGAGCAATTCACTCAATAGCTGCAGTTATCTTTCAACTGAAAGCCAAAACCACTTTCCAAAGAGGACAAATGTTTATAAAATATTCTCTTCAGAGTCAAATGTGCAATTTCCTCACCCTCCTTAAAATGTTAAACTTTCAATGCAAGAATTGTCAAGAGCCCAAGAATTGTTGCCAATTGCTATGGTTTCCTTTTCTAAGTCATCAGAGCCACCTGTCAGGAGACCTTGGTCTCCCAGCCAGAGCAGGCTTTTTGAGCTGCCTACCCTGACTCCAATGATCATTACCATAAAGACGGGTTTCATATTACACCCATTAGAAAAGATTTAAAACGCTGATGATACTGAACCAACATTATTTTAACAATTTTGTCCAACGTATTATAAGCTTAAATGTTGAGCCAAATTATAAGGGGTTGACTCAAGCTCATGACGTATGAGATAGCCCTCAAGTCAGCCCTTCTCCCCTTCTGCCCTTCTGTCTAAAGCTAGCCTTCTTTTAAATTCAAGAAAATTCTCCACCCTACAAAAACCTGGCATTCTCTTGGGTCCCTTTACACTTTATCCACACAAGAAACGCTGAATCATGACTCCGAGGTTGTAAAAGAAAAACTATTTCGACTGGGACGCCAGGATCCCCAGAGGATCCCACGCTTCTGCATTCCTTTGCTTGTCACCTTTTAAAGTCTGAATCGGGTCTGTTTAGACAGACTGGAGAGGCCCGCCCCGGAGCGGCCAAGGTTGCAGGTCGGGAGAGATCCTCTGCTGACTCGCCTAGTCCTCCCCAAAACCCAAGCAGCCCTGGCAGCTCATGGCTCCCGCTTCGTCTCCTCGAAACTCGACCCCTAAGGAACTGATCCACTCCCCATCCGCAAAGCTGCACAACAACCTCCGAGAAAGTCCCGACTGGGAGCATCACTACCACAGCCACCCGTCCGGAGCACCTTGGGCTCACACTGGTCTCCCTTGTCCAAGGTCCGGCACGGGTGGGGTGTGCCGAGGCCGCTCCTCCAACACCCCCACTCAGCCATGGTGCGAGAGACCAGCCCGCCGAGAGTGCAGACTCTTGAGAAACTCGATCCCAACTCTCCAGCCCGCATCTCCGGAACCGCGCCTGGTCCAGAGAAGAGGGGCCGAGGTCCACGGAGCGGAGTGGCGTGGACAGCCTGGAGACGAGGCAGACGTGGAGGGGAGGGGGCAGCAAGGAAAGGAACGCTGCTCAAGCCAGTCCCGCAACTTCTCTCAGCCCTGCTCAGGGGGTACGGGGGGGGGTACGGAGGAACGGCGGCGGCTGCGAGCGCGAGGTGAGGGACTCACTTGAAGGTGAGGACGCAGAGCGGCCGGTAGGACTTGTGGCTGGTGTTCTCGGCCATGCCCTTGCCCCAGAAGTCGTTGGTGAAGATGCCCCAGCGGAGCGGGGCTCCGGGCCGCACGTCGGGGTTGTTCACGATCGCCCACACGTCGTCGTGCACGAACTCGCCCTGCAGGGAGCGGCCGTAGCACAGGCAGCTCGCCCCGGCCAGCAGCGCCGCAGCCCCAGCCGGCGCGAGTCCGCAGCCCCGCCGCCGGGAGGGCGCGCGGTCCCCGCTGCCGCCTCGGGCAGAGCTTGTCACCACCATCGCGCCGCCACCGCCACAGCTGCCCTGGCCTCTCCCGGGCGTCTGGCATCCTCCCCGGCCGGGACCCCAGCGGAGCGCAGCAGCTGCCCGGAGGTGGGCTCGCGCATGGTGCGGCGGCCGCTGGACCCGCCGCTGGCGCCCCGCGCTCTGCCGCCTCCTGCGCCGCGGAGTTGGCCCAGCTGCAAATAAACAGCAGTCCCCCCGCCTCCCCCGGCCATCGCCACCTCCTCCGCCCCACTGCGCATGCCCCGCTCCCTCTCGCCTCCGCCCCCCCTTCCCAATCCCGGGACTAGGGCGGCTCTCCCCACACACACCCCAGCACCTCCCGCTCGCGCCTTGCTCGCCGCGGCGCTCTGCCTGCAGGAGCCGCGTCCCCCAGCGACGAGGGTTCGAGTGCAGGTGGAGCGGGGATCGCGGCGTGGAGCTGCAGGGAGAGGCGGGGAAGGGGCACCCGAGGTCCCGCCTGCTGTGTCCGGGGATGCTCACCTCCCCTTCCCATCCACTACTCTCCGGAACAGGACTAAGGAGGACCTCATCTGGAGGGCACCTCCGGGCCTGGGGCCAGGGTGGGCTTAGCAGAGGCGTGGCCTGAACCCCCGGCACCCCACCCTCTGAGAGAAAAGTGGCTGCTGCCTCCGGGGAAGTTCCCGGCTTTTCAGCACCCCGGACAACAGCAGCAGCGGCGCCGAGGGACAAGCTCGACCTCCTGGCACCCGCGCTCGCGTCTGGTCGCCCTCTCCGCATTCCCTTCCCGGGGCTTTCTGTCCCCTACCAGGCGCTGTGTCCCTCTCAGTTGCAGCCTCGGAGAGAGAAGACCGCGGAGAAATGGAGCTTTCCAAGCCCCTCTCCGAAGCCACGAGGAAGGGTCTCCCTGGCAGAGGGCCTCCTGCCCGCCCTGCCCCGTTTGTTCAGAGGCACCACTAGCTGTTGTCCTTTGCCTCCCACTGCTCTGCTCGCACTGATAAGACGTCCCAGGTTCGATTTTGGGTTTGAGTCTGGACGCTGATTTGGCTTCTGAAACATTTCTTCTCATTTTATTTTTTACTGAAACTCGAGATAATATGGGAAATGCAGAGCAAAATACTTTATCTTCCCTTCTGAGCGGATCACTTGGGTCTGATTATCATTTCCTGGGCTGTGGGCGTTCCTAAGTCAATTGATTAAAAAAGAAAAAAACAACAACAAAACTGCGTTAAGGCCTCTGACTTTGGCTCCCAATCTTCCCATTTTTCTGAAAGGGTTTCTTTTAAAAATATATTAATTATAATATGTAAATAGGTATCCCAGAGCGATGATTACTAGAGTTTCTCCAGGTTTGAAAAGTCTGTTACTCTTTGAGGCCCCTTGTAAATTCCCATTGCTGTGTGTTATTGAAGTTACTTGGAACTTGACATATCCAGATAGAAAAACTTAAAATATAAAATTTGTCATTTTATTCCCATTCCTCCGAAACCTTTAAAAGTTTCCTCGATTTAAAAAAAAAGTAAAAAGGCAGACATTGTTCTTATGCTGACTGATGATGTGTGTGGATCTTTACTACACCAATTTATTTTT